CATCCTCGTGCTCGGCAGCCTCCTCGCCGAGCTGATCCTCCTCGGTCGCGGCCTCGGCGGCGCTCACCGCGTGGCGAGGCGGGGGCGGCCGCGGAGCCGACGGCCTGTCCAGCAGGGCGGGGCGGCTGGGCGGCGCAGGTGGTTGCTGCCGCCGAGGGCCGCCGCCAGGCTCCTGCCCGTGGCCTCGCTCGCGGTTGTCGCCCGGCGCCCTCTCGCGGCGCGGCCAGACCACTGGCGGCGCCGCCGCCCTCTCCGGGTACAGGCGCCCGATGGCGCCCATGATCCCGTCGAACTCGTAGCTGTGGGAAATCGAAAGAATACCTCGTGCATGTTCTTCGCCGAGAAACACCGTACTCAACAAGCGGTGTCCGCGAGCCTGGGCGTCTAGAGTCTAGAGACTCGGCGATATTGATCTTCACCTGCTTGAGCGCACGCTCGACTCTGACGTATCTGGCACAGTGGGCATGGAGCTTCTCACCAGGACTCCTCTTGATCCTCTCGTACGCTGCCAGCAGGTCGCCCGCGTGGAAAATCTCCTCCTCGCCGAAGGGCGAGCGCATAACTTCAACCAAATGTTCGATGCCGTCCTGGGTGGCCCATGTCATCGGCGGTTCGGAGATGATCTCCTTCAGCGCCTCCCCCGTGACGGCATCTCTGAGCTGCAGCGCCGCCTCGGCGAGCGGCAGGTAGTGCTTGACTCGGAACTTCCATGCGTCCACCGCATCACGCCAGTGTTCCCAACAGCGCGGGTCCGCCCTGCGATCCCCCGAGAAGGTCGGGGCCGCTGGCGGCGCACCTCCGCGCCATCGGACTCCAGGGGGGGGGCCGCGGGGGTAGAGCGGGTCGTCGGCGGCGTCGTCTGATGCACTGCTTCCGCCTCGGCCGCGCCGACCACGGCGCCTCCTCGAGACACCGTAGCTCTCCCCTTCGTCTCCATGTTCCGAGGGCGGGTGCGACATCGGGGCGAGAACTCAACCTCGCGACGTGCGCTACCAATGTGATCGGACTTCTCTTCACCACTGCCGCAAGCGGAGCGTGGCCACGGCCTTCAGTCCTGCGCATGCAGCTCCCGGCGGGAGCAGAATAATGATTCGGGCCTCGAGCCCGGCAATCTCAGATCGCTGATCTGTCTGTGTATAATATGCTTGCCTGTGGATCTTTATCTGTTGAGTTATCTGTCTGATGTCGTCGCCGGCTGGCGGCTCTACAAGAGGGGCCCCTCAAGCTGGTTTGAGCGAAACGGCCATGCAACGGCACAAACCTGAGAGGGGCAAACACGCACGCTAAAACTGCAGAACATTCACAGTAATCGCAATAATAGAAGCTGAGACGCACTCGGGGCCTCTCGAGGCTAAAGGCTAAAAGGGTGTCTAGTGGGAGTTTCCAGACAAGGCTGGCATGCTAAAACAATTACTGTTTCAGAATGATGGCTTCGTTCGCTCCTGGGCTGCTCAGCTGCGTGTAGGCGCCGTGTAAAACCTCCACGGCCAGCGGGCCGAGCCGCTTCCAATCTGCGAAAGGCAGCCCATCTGGGCCAGGCGCGGTGGACGGCGCGTGGTCCAGCGCGTGCCGCACGTCTTTCGGACGAAGAGTCTAGCGCGGGTCTTGGGCCGCTGGCAGCCACGGCGCGCCCTGGCCTGCACGGGCCGCCCGTTCGTTCTGCAACCACTGCTGGCGGAGACGTCTGTCCGTGGGCCGCGCGCAAAAGGTCGCCCCCCAGTGCTGTCGGAGGGCGTCAGCCATGGCTGTTGGCCGCGTGAGCACCTCCCCTGTGCGACTGAGCACGGCCCTGAAGGACCGGCAGCGGCCAGGCGCAAGTCTCGCGAGCAACTGCCAATTCCGGCCGCGCCGCACGGCGGCCTGGTGGGCATCGAGCCCCGGCAGGTCAGCGCGGAACCGCTGGAGCTCGTCCACCGCGCGCTCGCGGGCAAGCTCCACCGCGTGGTCCCGGACGGCCTGGAGACGCCCAGCCGCGCGCAATTGGAGCGAGTACGGATTGTCCACGAGGCTGGCCAAGTGAGGGTAGCGCTCTAGGCACCTGCTTATGCGTCCGAAGTGTCCGCCCTCGACGGCCCGCAGAAATTTCATCGTCACTCCGGCTCTGTCCTCGGCCGTTTCGGCTGGGTGCCGGCTGGCCGTCTCCTTGGCGAGGTGCCTGGCCACCGCCTTCATGGCATTCTTCAGCAGCCCCAGGCGCCGCAAGGGCGATGCGTCCGGCTCCGCCGCTGCACGCACTTGAAACGCCAGCTCGACGCGGAAAGCCCAATCCGCGTGCTGGATTGCCTCGTGCGCAATGGGCCTGTCGCCCACCAGCCGGGTGGGCATCCTGCGGCCCGCAGCCACGGCCCGGTGGTGAGACAGCGTCGGGACCCACTCCAAAGCAACGGCGTAAATGTCGCGATCAAGCTGTGCGGCCGCGTCTTGATTCCAGTAGATCCGGTCGAGCCGCGAGCGCGTGGTGCCACTGCGGTGCGTCAGAGCTGGTTGGTGCAGCTCGTGGAGAGAAAACGGCCGGAGCGCGGTCTGCTGCCAGGTGGGTTCCCCATCCAGCCATGCCCGTGCACTCTCTCACAAAGTCAGATCTTCAGAAGGGCAACGTAGCCCAGTTCAAGATGCTTTCCTCGGGTATGTTACGTCTCGCGAGTGAGGAGGAGAGCATGAAAGGTAGGGGAGATCGGGCGGCCGGAAGGGACAGATCTCGGGCATACTCCAGAGGCCATAGAGAAGACAAGCCCGGAGACTACTTCCCTGGTCCCTTCCCCGGTGGTCGGTGGTCGGTGGTTTCTCTTTCTCTCTCTCCTTCTCTCCCTCTCTCTCGTCAACATGCTTGGTGTTTTTTCCCTACCTAGGCTCTGCCTAGAAGGGTTCTTACTCTCTTAGCTTAAAGGGGCCGGGCAGTGCACAGCGCCCCGGGCGGTTCCCCCAGTCCCCGCCCCGCGGTTCCCTGAGTCCCCTGGGAGCTTTAGCCTTAGCTTTAGCTTTAGCTTAGCTTTAGCTTTAGCTTTAGCTTTAGCTTAGCGTTAGCTTAGCTTTAGCTTAGTGTTAGTTTAGCTTTAGCTTAGCTTTAGCTTAGCTTTAGCTTGGCTTCAGCTTAGTGTTAGCTTAGCTGTAACTTAGCTTTAGCTTAGCTTTAGCTTAGCTTTAGCTTAGCTTCAGCCTAGTGTTAGCTTAGATGTAGCTTAGTGTTAGCTTAGTTTTAGCTTAGATTTAGCTTAGCTTTAGCTTAGCGTTAGCTTAGCTTTAGCTTAGCTCCAGCTTAGTGTTAGCTTAGCTTTAGCTTAGCTTTAGCTTAGCTTCAGCTTAGCTTCAGCTTAGCTTTAGCTTAGCTTTAGCTTAGCTTTAGCTTAGCCTTAGCTTAGCTTTCGCTTAGCTTTAGCTTAGAGTTAGCTTAGCTTTAGCTTAGATTTGTCTTAGCTTTAGCTTTAGCTTTAGCTTAGCTTTAGCTTAGCTTTAGCTTAGCTTTAGCTTAGCTTCAGCTTAGCTTTAGCTGGGCGTTAGCTTAGTGTTAGCTTAGCCTTAGCTTAGCTTTAGCTTAGCTTTAGCTTAGCTTCAGCTTAGTGTTAGCTTAGCATTAGCTTAGCTTTAGCTTAGCTTTAGCTTAGCCTCAGCTTAGTGTTAGCTTAGCGTTAGCTTAGCTTTATCTTAGCTTTAGCTTAGCTTTAGTTCAACTAGTTTAGCTTTAGCTTAGCTTTAGCTGAGCTTTAGCTGAGCTTTAGCTTAGCTTCAGCTTAGCTTCAGCTTAGCTTTAGCTCAGCTTCAGCTTAGCTTTAGCTTAGCCTTAGCTTAGCCTTAGCTTAGCTTTCGCTTAGCTTTCGCTTAGCTTCAGCTTAGCTTCAGCTTAGCTTCAGCTTAGCTTTAGCTTAGCGTTAGCTTAGCTTTAGCTTAGCTTTAACGTAGCGTTAGCTTTAGCTTTAGCTTTAGCTTTAGCTTAGCTTTAGCTTAGCTTCAGTTTAGTTTTAGCTTAGCTTTAGCTTAGTGTTAGCTTTAGCTTAGCTTTAGCTTAGCTTTAGCTTAGCTTTACTGTTACTACGAATGCTGCTTTCCTAGGGGTTCCAACTCCTAGGTAGGGTCGCACTGGGATAATAAGGAATATTCCAGGCTGTAGAAGGTTAGGAGTGCCTGTGCCAGTATCTCTCTCTGTGCGGGCCGAGGGTGTGTTTCAGTGGACGGATCTCAGCTCCCTGTGCACAACCACCTTAAAGCTCAGAAAAATTGGGTGGACTGACGATTTTCGGTCTAGAATGCCAACCCATGTGAGCTTTGAGTGTGCGAATGTGTTTGTATGAGTGCCAGGGAGTTTGTATAGTTGAGTTTCCGTCCATAGCCATCTGGGCACGAGGCACCTCGAAGTTTCGGGTTTGCCAGGACAAACCTCCGAGCATCGCATCCATCCGTCCACATCGGCTTGGGTTCTGAGTAGTTGGATTGATAGGACCCCGTTTGTGAATCCGAACGTTCCTGGGCGAGTTAGGTCTAATCGGGCCACTATCGGCGATCAATGGTCCATTGGGGGTCGATACATCCCCCCCCATGCTTATCCCCCCCCTATCGTTGCCAATGAAAGACGGGGGGGGGCTGTGCGCGCCGCGGCTTGAAAAAAACTGCCCAGGGGCCCCCTGGAGGTGCACCGAGGGCCCGCCGCGGTCAGGTCGGACGAGAGGGGGGAATGACTTGTCCGGCGCCTCCTGTCACTGAGAGGCGCCAACGTATGGGGGAATACGCCCAGCGGCGAGGCCAAAACCAGCTGCACGCATCAGACCTCGTACCCTCCCCCTTTCCCTATGTATCCCCTTCCCTGTCGTCTGGCCCCAGCCAGAAGTGTTGGTAGACCAAGGTCTCCTTAGCTTTTCGCGCATGCATGGGGCCCGTGGGGCCTCCTGGGCCTGATGAGGGGCGCACTGTAACCAAACGGGGCCTCCCTGGAGAAAGCTGGGGCCACCTTGGGCCACGGACACCTCAAGCACAGGGCGTGCACGGCGGCAGCCCGAGAGCCGACCAGCCCGATCGCAAAGGGCGGGCGAGGTCCCAGAAACAGTTCGGGGTCCAAAAACCGTGTGGTGACAGACTGCGCGGTGACCTCGGACCCTGGAGGCCCCCGTCGCCCGAGAGGTCATCGGAGAACGGACCGAGCCCTAACACTGTGCGGTAAGCCAGGGCCCGAACACCCTCTGACTCACCGCACGGTGTGGTCACCACACCGATTGGGGGCTCCCGAAGCAGAGGCACGACGCCAGTGGCAACGGGTATCACGGGTCCAGGAGGCGCTCTGGAGCGGCTGCCCCCATCACCACGCCAGAACGGCGCCGGCGCCGCCGCCCGCAGATCAGCCGCCGGCACACGCGGAGCAGGCAGCACCTCCTGCGGAGGCCTCCCAGACGGGGCCGCCTGTATGTTGGGTCGGAGGATCGCACCGCCGGTGCATCGGCGACGTCGGGGTGGAGGAAAGCGGGCGCCAGTGGCGTCGCATCGTCGATGTATCGGCGATGGGGCGCGATCTTTTGGCCCCGTCTGCGACTGGCTTCTGCCGCGCGGATCGCTCGATATATTGAGCCACCTCGGCCAGTCGCTGGCTCGAGGCCGCTCTGCCCAAGGCCGCACGGTTCAACCCTTGAGCGCGCGCGCCAACGTCGCCGCCGCGCCGACGAAGGCACGAACACGCCAATCTCTGGCCCGAATCAATGATACGAGAATGGCGCCCGTGCACCGCACGTGTCTGGACTCCCTTCAAGCCCCGCTCCGACGCGGTACGGTGCCCGATTAGTTTTCGGCTCCGAGGACACAAAAACGATACAGTCGTCCGCGGAATTTGGGAGGCCCCGGCTCCTGCCGCTCCCGCGCCCCGCCACCGACCCGCCGTCCATCGACAGCGGCACCGGCGCCGCGGGCGGCCAGCGCGGGCTGCGGTCCTCGGCGGTGGCGAAGCTCCGGCACGACTTGAAGCTGGTCGAGCTGGCGTTGTCGTCGGGGCCCTCTGGGTCCGCCTGCTGGGCCTCGAGCGGCCGCGGCAGGCCCGCGAGCACCCTGGGCTCCCGCCGCAGCTCGTCGCCCTCCGGGGCCGATTCCTGCCGGGCCGACACCGGGAACACCAGGTCGCTGTCGCAAGTTCCCCCGACGAACGACGGCACGCGCGCGGGGTCGCCCAGGAACTCCCGGGCGAAGCGGCACAGCCGCGCGCCGTCGACGCCAGCCGGCGCTCTGCCCGGCACGCTGCCTGGGTGCACGAAGATCTTCGCTATGGCCTGCGGGCTCATGACGGAGCCGGCCAGCCTGGACGCAAACTTGACCCAGGCGGGGGGGTTCAGGATATCTCCCGACCCCAGCGTGCTGGGGGTGACAAGGCGTGTTGGCTGTCGCCCTCCCCCTTTCTCGCGTTGGCGTTTGAGGGGGGGCAGAGCTCATCAATGCTCTTCGGGGGCCCTCGGAGAGAGAAGAGGGCCGCAAGACGGGCCAAGAGAGCCCCAAGATAGCCCCCTGACGAGCCAAAAGGACTCCGAGACGGACCAAGCCACTTGAATAAGTCTTCCCGATGAACTGTGGCCTCAACCACTCGTTGGTCTTCGAGCTGCTCCCAAGCGCCCGGAAGAACCGCATCTCCTGGACCATGGCGGTCGCGGCCACGTCCTGGATGTTGATCTGCTTCACGAAAGCGCCCGCGCCCTTCGAGGCCGCCTCGCAGTACTGCCAGGCACACTCGTTGACGAAGTTCAGCCACCGCTCCAGCTTCGCCTCGCTCACCGCGTCCATGAGGGCGCGCAAGTTGCAGCCCCTCATCCGGCTCACGAAGACCGGATCCCCGAAGCGGCTGGTGTGCTGGTAGGCAGACGTCAAGAACAGCTCTATCGCCCGCAACTCCACGGCCGTGAAGTCGTCGGGCGCGCGCCGCCGCCGGGCCGCCTCTATCAGCGGTCCGTTTTCTCGGCGCCAGGCCAGCGCCTTGCGCGCAGCCGCCGCCGCGCTGGCGGTGTCCTCGAAGCTGATCGTGTACCGCAGTAGCCACACGTCGTCCGCGAAGCCTGGCAGCGGGCACACTGCGGCGCCGCCCTCGCCCGCGGCGCCACCCTCGGGCTTCTGCAGCGCCGCCCGCAGCCCGTCTACGGCGCTCCTGCGCTCCGCCAGCAGCTCGGCCAGCGGGGCCCGCTCCAGGGGCGCCCAGGCCATCCGCCAGCGGCCGCTGCGCGGCGGCGGCCGTCGCCCTCCGTGCGCGCGTGCGGCTGGCGGGTGGCCCCGCTCCAGAGCCGCCGCCGAATGAGCCGAAGGGCTGGAGGATTCGGAGGCCTACTGGCGCGCGGCGTCGCTCAGAGGAGCTCCAAAGACCACCGCCAACGAGAGCACATCGAGAGGGGGGGGCGGGAGGGGGGGCGACCCCTGCGGGGTGGCACCCCCGTCATCCAGTATCAGACGACGCTCAGGCGTGCCACGGGCCAGGGGTGGGCCCTCTCCGATTTGTTCTCGGTGGCGGTGGCCTCTGTTTCTGCTCCGAAACGCTGCGTACAGCCCGCGCCCATTGTCCCGCACGCAGTGTGCCCACGAGTGCCCCCTGTCACCAGGAAGTGCCATCGTCAGCAAACCTCCTCGCGGCCCAGGGCGGGGGGACCGCGGCAGACTCTGGGGCGCCCGCAATACAGGACTCCCCTGATCCCGACACGCTTGAGGGCCACGGCCTGCCGTCAGCGAGCGAGCTGGGCACCCCACCCCCCTGCTCGTACGTACACCTCCCCTCGCCGGGCAAGTGCTGTGACGAGCCCTGGGCTCTGATCTGCTCGCTGGCGCTCGCCGGCATCGGATGACAGGTCTATGGGGGGACGAGAAGGTACATACCGATACTGCCACAACCTGGCCCACTTTTTGGACCTCTCCCAGGTTGAGCTCTAACCAAAGTCCGAAGAGAATCCAGCCCTGGCTACGAGGGCCCTCTAGGACGAGCAGCGGTACCGGGATCTTTCCGTCCTCTGACCCCCCCGATCGCTTTTGCCTTGTCGACAAAAGTCCCACCGCTGGTTCTGGAGCAAGAAAAGATCGAGCTGTTGCTCTGCAGGAGCCGGCCAGTGGCGGCGAGGACTGCTGCTGCACCGTTGGGGAGCCAAGAGGCGCAAAGGCCCAGCTGGTCCGGCCAGCATCGGACCCTGAGGCAACACGCACAGAAGCGGTCGAGTGAGCGGTGGTGCCGTCCTGCCGCCACGCCGCGATGAGACACGACGAAGGTGTGGCCCCCGATCGCGTCGCGAATTCCAAGATTCCGTCGGACGGTGAGGCGTCAAAACGTTCACATCGAGGCTAGCCGGCTAGCCTCCTCCTCCTTGACCTCCAGCGCGCCCTGCCCTGCCCCTCTCCCCCCGTATCCTCCCCTGCCCTCCCCCATCCCTCGTCCACACACTTCCTTTTCGTGGTCACACCACCACCCCGGAAGGAAATCTCGAGAGTTCCACGCATGTCTGATCCCGAAGCTTGACGCTTCCCAGAGTTGCACAGACCGTGGGTGAATGGTTGTGTTCTGTGGCAAACACCATAGCGACGTGTACACAAGTCTTAACATAGTTCACCAATTGTACGATGGAGGGCGGTTGGTGTTCAACATGCGTCTCTCGCCTTAGCGCCGCGCGCGTTCGCCTCAGAGGACCCGAGCATTTGCACGGATACAAGGGATGTCATCTGCAATATGTGGCACTCGCCACAGCATCGTCCATGTTGGAATTAAAAGCTTGCGGTGGCCACGCGCATGGAGGGCGGCTCCATTTGTGTATGCGGATATCGTTTGATACTTCCCCAAGTTTCATTGCACAAAGCATACATGCGCTTAGCAATTGCACACAACACATTTCGCTTTCAACATGGAGGATATCGCTTGAGCCGCTCGCATGATTCGCCACACGGATCTTGAAGTGTCCAACTGCCACGCTCAGGGTCAATGATGGGGGGACTGGCTCAGGGGAAAAACCTCGATGTGGAATCGGCGATACGTCGCTGATAAGATGACGATGACACCCCGAGAGTAAATCTGCAAGTTCCTGGGCTGCGTGGGCGACCTACCAAGCCCCTATCGGCGATCAATGGGCGATTAGGGGTCGATGCGCCACCCCCCTGACATGTTCCCCTCCCCCACGTTGCCCTGGATACACGGTGGGGAGTATGGGGTTCTTGTTCGACACGTCCATACGAGCGTGCGTCCGCATATTCGTCATAGCCACACTGATGCGACCAAATTCTGAACAAACGGGGTTATCCCCTGAATGGAAGACCCATGGGGCGCTTTCATTTCGACACGGGTGGTCCCTGCAGAAAGGCATAGCGATAGGGATGCTTGGGAAGGGGCGTGGGAACGGGAGGGTGCGTTAAAACACACTTGATGCATCCTACATATCTGTATGTTTGTCCTCCTCCGTCCTTTTCTTCCTCCTCCTCCTCCTTATCCTCCTCCTCTTCTTCCTCCTCATCTCATATTTACCCAACTTAAGCCCAACAGGGCTCAACTCATCAGGCAGTAGTGGTCGTAATGTTGGGGTCCATAGTAGCGGATCCAATGACATGGCGGAAAGTAAAGGTTATAATGTCCGTTCAGCAATATGGAAAGGAAATATGTGTTGTATAAGCAATACGCGCGCGGGGCACGCGCGCGACCTTTTCCAATCCGAAATAGCTAAAGTCAACTATCAGTGCAAGCAACGTTCTATATGTACATGAACGGCGGCAGGGAGCGCATGGCGACGACCCCCCCGCGGCGGCCCAGCCGCAGCGGCCGGCCGGGGCCGACGGAGCACCATCGGGACCTTACGTTCCCGACGGCGCCGCATGCGGGCGGGCGCGGGCGCGAGGCTCTCATAGCCGCCAGCAGCCCCGCCTGCCACGTGGAGTGCACCATGCGGCCATGGGCCGAGGGTGTCAAATAGGCGCGGGCGCGAGGCTATCACAGCCGCCAGCAGCCCCGCCTGCCACGTGATGCCACCATGCGGCCATGGGCCGAGGGTGCATGTGTCCGCACCAGCGTAGCCACCAGAGCGCCATGGGCGCATGGACGTCTGGGGCTCACCAGCGCCATCCGCCGTCGCGGCGCCATTGGTCGCGGCCGTCGTAACGGCGATCCGCCCAGCTGTCGTAACCGCCCTTGCCGCAGTTGTCTTTGCCCGGTCCTTTGCTTCCGGCAGCCCCTCCACGCACTCCAGGCGCGGTCACTGGGGGGTCGGCTTTGCCTCCGTTCGCGCCATGGGCGCTGGTCGGACTCAGGCACATGCTGGGAAGATGACGACGCGGCGCCACTTTGCCCTGACTGGCGGATGTCTGTAGAGCGGCACGGACGTACCGAGGGAGGGGAAGCTGTGCGACTGCCCCCCTTCTCTCGGGGTCGCTTGCCCTTCCCCGTCTCCGCGGCCTCTGGGGGCGGCGGGGCAGCGCCGCTCGACGCGCTGCCCTTGCCGTCGACCGTGCGCGGGAACGCAGCCGCCCCAAACGCAGCCGCTCTGCCCCCTGGTGTAGACGAGGGGCTGAGCGGGCGCTTGCGGCTGATGGAGCGGGCGGCCCGGGCAGTGGTTGCCGGGGGCTGGCGACGCCGTGCTCCTCGTGCCATGGGTACACGTGAGGTGTGGCGCTCCTCGTCTGACTCGTACACGCGCAGCGGCCACAGCTCGACTGCCGCGCGCTGGAATGCATCCCGCGTGACCCGCTGACCGCGTCTGAGCGCCGAGGCTTGCGACTGCAACAAGTACTGTATGCACGCCTCGATCAGGTGCGCGTCAGAGGAGACGCGCGGCAGATCTGATCGGTTTCTATAGATGTCCCTGTGCACCAGCTCCAGCAGCTCGCGGTGCGCCTTCAGGATGTTGAGCTCGCGCGCCAGCGTCGTGCGAAACTGGCCCACTTCCGTGAGATGAGCGCGCATGGCGCGTTCATCTGCGTTGTCCGCATCAATCTGCGTCCGATCGAAGTCCTTAGTCAACTCGACTGCAACCTTGTAGGCCTGTTCTGACATCCACTTTGTCTTGACATTGAAGGTCTGGGTCATAGACGGAGAACTCGGGCGGCTCGTACCACAGCTTGCGGATCTGTGCCTCGCAGGAAGCAAGAGTGTCCGCCTGGTGATATTCCAGAGGCTCGTCGTGTGCTGCGAAGTATGTGACAAGCTCGTGGGCCGCCCTAGTGATGCGGTACTGGTTGATGGGTAGCCTGAGGCCAGCTTGGTGAATGTCCTGGCCCTGGCGAGGCGCGCGAGAGCTGTTTCGTCTGCGCATGGCGCGACCTCCGAATGCTCTTGGTGCGTCCTCTGAACGAACTCGTCGTCGACTATTCGATCTGCCACACCTGCCATGGGCATGAGGTGGCGGCCGCGCCACGGCGGGGCGGCGTGCACGAACGTCCCGAATATGTTATGTTTCCTCTTCTTCCTCGATACTGGCCCATTCCTCCTCGGCGACCAGTGGCATTATATTTCCTCCTGGATTTCTGGCCAAAGCCGATTGAGCCCCAGCGGCAGGCGCGCGCGCTTGGCGTGGCACCAACGAGGCCAACTAGCGGATAGCTCAGCGCCATCGCGAGCCTCAGGGTCGGTGGTGCCCCAGTCAAAGATGCTCAGAACACCCATCTCTGTGCTGAACTCAGACTGATCCACTCGTCTCGACAGGTACGCCCACCACTTCCATGTCGGGCAGGTCGCCCTGTTGCCAGTAGGCTTCCAGCCAAAATGTTCTTGGTACGATATCCACCGACGGGCCAATTTGTGTCCCTTACCTCGCTCGCCTTGTTGCCATTGGCAGGGCGCTTGTCATTCGGTGATGCCGGAAACCATGCGAACACTGATCTTTCAGCCGAGAGTGTGGCTGTCCTTCCCGCTTTTGCAGCGTGATGGCGTAATGGCGCACCCTCGGAGGTGGAGATTTTCCAACTGTCCCGCCATTTTGCTTGTGTACGATCCGAGCTCTGTATCATGGCTGCCCGTGTCCGTGGCCTGCCACTTCCGCGCTCATGGAGCGGGTTCGCAGGCCTCCGATCTTTCATCATTCCAGCAGTCATCCAGTCCATCGCAGGCCGAAGTTTGTTGGGATGGTACGGTAGCGCCTCGTAGATGATGTCGTCCCAGCATACTGAACAACCCATCATGCCGCATCTGGACTTGTGTCCCATGTGGCAAACGAGGCAGACGTCATCATCCCAGCCAGGCGGCTACCTGATTTCCGCCCACAGCGCTGCATCCATCCGGTCCTCCCAGTAGCCGGCTCGGATGCACTGGTTGGGCTCCAGAATATCGACGCAGCCTGTCCTGTGCCTGGGCGCGACCTG